GCTATTTTTTGGTTGCAGCCATTATTGTTGTTTGGCAGGTCCGGGCTGGATTCGAACCCACCACCTTAGGTGTATGTGGCTGGCGCCTTAGCCGTTTGAGCCACAAGTGCCGAGCCAACCACATCTTGCTTTCTACCCAGCAAAACTGATTTTTCACTTCTGACCTCCAGACTGTTGGGGAATAAATATATGTCATTTGAAGCCATGAAGTGAGTGGTACCTGGTTGCAGCAGTCACACAGCAGCTAGTACCCAAGTGGATATTTAAAGTGCTGCTATCTCTGGGGACAGAACATGGCTTCTAGTTCTTTTTGCTTCAGTCATGTTTCCCCTGATCTTTGCTTAGCTCATGTACCACTTTGGTACACTGAAAAAAATCTCTCTCATCTTTCTGCTTATAATAGGGTAGGCCTCAGGTGTCAAAGAATCAAAGTACAGACAATACAACACGTGGTCAATACAGTCTGCCTCCATAACCTAGAGGATCAGGACCATCACTGAGATAAAGAATAAAAAGGGAAGGGGCTGCCCAAGCTGTGTCAGCAATGTGGTATGCCCTGGGGAGGCTCCAAGGTGGCAACTGGTCAGAACTCAGGAAGTGGGTGATAGGGACTCATTTTTATTTATTTAGAGAACATTATTGTGGAGCCTGCTTCCAAGACAGCCCCAGTGATTCTTGCTGTCTGGTAGTCATACCTTGTGTGGTTCTCTCTCTGATAGACGGGGACAACCTATAAAAGCACTCAAATATGGCGGAAGTGGCAGAGGTGTTGCTGAGGCTAAGTTATAAAATACATTGCTATCTCTTGGATTTCTTGCTCTGGGGGAAACCAGCTGCCATGTTGTGAGGATGCTCAAGTAACTCCACAGAGAGGTCTGTATGGTGAGTAACTGGGGCTCCAACTAATAGCCCTATCAGGAAGCTCGGAGATGGCTAGTGTAGCCCCTGTGAAGTTTTCAAATGACTGCCCTAGCTGTAGCTTGACTGTAACCTTGGGAAACATCCTGAGGCAGAATCACCCAGCTAAGCAACTCTAAAATTTATAACCCACAAAACCTGTGAGAAATGAGAAATAATAAACATTTACTTTATTTTTGTCTTTTGAGACAATTTCACTATATTACCCTCACTATGTTGTCCTCGGTAGAGTGCTGTGGCATCATAGCTCACAGCAACCTCAAACTCTTGGGCTTAAGTGATTCTCATGCCTCAGTAGCTGGGACTACAGGTGCCTGCCACAATGCCCAGCTATTTTTTGGTTGCAGTTGTCATTGTTGTTTAGCTAACCCAGGCCAGGTTCGAACCTGCTAGCCTTTGTGCATGTGGCTGGTGCTGTAACCACTATGCTAAAGGGCTCCAAGCCATGTTTACTGTCTTATGTGGCTAAGTTTCAGTGTAATTTGCTACATGGCAATAACTAACATGGCTACTTAGTAGTTCTAAGTGCTGAATGTATGTGCAGATTGCTTGTTCCCTTTTAGTGAAATGAAGGCACAGAGAGGTGCAGTAGTTTGCCCAAAGTTACACAGCTGGTAAATGGTGAAGCTTTAAACCCCAGTCTGTCCTATTCCAGAGTCTGAGGGTTCAACCACTGGCTTTGGCTAGCTGTGGGTGGTATCAGAAGACGGCGAAATCTCTAAGAAGACCAAGAGAGCCTCAGAAAAACTCGAACATTTAAGGAGCAAGGAGAGGAAGAACAAGTTTAGAGTGGGGAGAAAGAAGGGAAGAGAGAACAGAGAATATAAGTCTAGAATGTGGGGGCGGAGGTTTCTCTACTGAGTCTAAATCCAGGTTAAAGACACCTGGGTTCATATCCCAGCTTTGTCACTCACTAGGTGTTTTCTGAAGCAAGTTACTTAACCCTTGATGCCTTTATTTCCCTGTTGTTTACATATCAATATCTGTACATACATATTGATATGAAAACCTATCAATATCTCCTGGGGTTGCAGTGAAGATTAAAGGAATTATTAGTTAATCTAAGACTGGCAAAGACCTGAGGGAGCCAGATCCAGGAGGCTGCAGCCCCAGTGGAGGCATGCTGGGACCTGCCCTAATGGGGGTGCTGAGGCAGAGGGTGACGTGCAGGCAGGGCTGCAGCCCAGACAGAGGGCTGAGCTCAGCGTCTGGGCTGGTGGAAATGGCCGGGCCAGGGTTTCTGGGCCACTCTGCTGGACCTCTTCTGCTGTTGCTGTTGGTGCTACCGCTGCAGCAGGCCCTGCCGGAAGGACCCCTGGTGTTTGTGGCTCTGGTGAGGTGCCCTGCCCAGCCTGGCCCCTCACGTCCCCAGGCCAGCCCTGACCTGGTCCTGTCCCCAGGTGTTCCGCCATGGCGACCGAGCCCCACTGGCCTCCTACCCCACAGACCCACACAAGGAGGCAGCTTCCACCCTGTGGCCACGCGGCCTGGGCCAGCTGACCAGGGTGAGAAGTTGGGTAAGGCGAGGGAGGGGGAGTGGCAAGGGAGGGTGTACTGAGGATGCTCTGTCCCCAGGAGGGTGTCCAGCAGCAGCTGGAGTTGGGCCGCTTCCTGAGGAGCCGCTATGAGGATTTTCTGAGTCCCCAGTATCGGCGGGAGGAGGTACTGCCACGTCCACTACTGCTTGGCCCCTGACCGTCCACCTCTGACCTCCACTGACCCCAATGCTCCCTTTGGGTCTCTGTTTCTGGTCTTGGATCCCCATCAACCTCACCTGGATCCTGTTTCTGCTCTCTGACCTCATCTCAACTGGGGTCACATCGTGACCTCTATCAACTCTATTTTCTGACCTCCACCTCTGTTTTCTGACTCCCACTAACTCTAATCAGCCCTTAGACCTCTGACCTTCAAACTTGATTGATTCTTTGACCCATGTTGACCCAACTTGCTCTGCTGGCCTCTAACTCTTGAACTCTATGCTTCTTTAGTTCTCACCTTCCATTCCTGTCTTCTAACATCCCCTGATTAGAATTGGTCCTCCTGACCTCTGATAAATATGTACTAAACTCTGACTTCAAGTCCTCCAAGATGGGTCCTCTCCTCATCTTGACCTCTAACCTCTAGCCTCCATTGATTCCAGTCTTCCTTTCTGCCTCTCATGGACTCAACTGACCCACTTAAACCAACACAACCCCCCAACTTCTGACCTTCAACTTGCATGCTCCTGACATTGACCTCTGATACTTGATCACAGATTCCAACATTGAAGGCCAGATGCTCAAACCAGCCCCGAGTTTTGACTTCCAATGCCTGACCTTCCGTCTCTTTTTATGACCTTTAACCTACCCCAGGCTGAATCTGAAGCTTTTGATTTGTCACCACAGCCAATCTCTGACCCTGACCATGGTACCCTGCATGCCCTCTCTCCACCCTGCCCCAGGTGTATATTCGCAGCACAGACTTTGACCGGACACTGGAAAGCGCTCAAGCCAACCTTGCTGGGCTGTTCCCTGAGGCCGCCCCGGGGAGCCCAGAGGCTGACTGGAGGCCCATCCCTGTGCACACAGTACCAGTCTCTGAGGACAAGGTCAGGCCGCTGGATAGGATGTGGCAAGGGAGGGAGAGGGGGTGAAGGGAATCACAGAGAGAAAGGGACAGTCACTGAGGCTGAAGGAGACAGAGGCAGCTGCAGGCCCAGCTGCATGGGCTTCTGGAGGCCTAGGCCACTCAGGGCAGTGAGGCAGTGTCCAGACGGTGCTAAGCCGCTGTCCTAGCTGCTCAGCTAGGTCTGGAGAGACTAGACCTGAAGCAAGGGCCAAGAGCCCCAACTCCCCATGTGCCATGAGAGCTAGGCATGCTGATGTCCTCTCTGAGCCTCAGTTTCCTCCAGTTGCTGAGGTTCCCCATGCGCAGCTGTCCCCGCTACCATGAACTGCTGCAGGAGACCACAGAGGCCGAAGAGTACCAGGAGGCCCTGGAGGGCTGGACGGTGAGCCGGGTTGCCAACAGGGGGTGGGGCGGGGAGGGCAGGCTCCGCTCACTCAGCCTCCTGCATCCAGGACTTCCTGACTCGCCTGGAGAACTTCACTGGGCTGTTGCTGGTTGGAGAGCCGCTCCGCAGGGCATGGAAGGTTCTGGACACACTGATTTGCCAGGTAAGCCCTTACCTCCTCCCAGCCAAGGGGTTAAAAGACACCAGCCTTTCAATCCCAGCTTTGCTAGCTGTGTTCCCTCAGGCAAGTTTCTTAACCCTTTGTTGCCTCAGTTTCCCCATCTTCACAATGGGGATGGAAACACCTGTATCAGCACCCCGAGGATTCAAACAGATTAATCCAGATAAGTACTCAGCATGTGTGTGGGCCACACAGGGGTTTGAGGATACAGGCCCATATGTACATAGGCAATTCTTCCCCCAAAGTCCAGTAACTGGAAAACCCAAAACTCAGGCAGCAGGAGCTGACCTGAAATGATGCACTGCTTGTCATTGCCTTGTTTACCCAAATTCAGGGTGTGGTGTGTCACAGTGGGAATATTGATGTGCATGATTTCAGGACTGCACCAGCCTTCACCATGTGTAATGTGCTATACACTGTTACATCTTCTCAGATCCAAAACGTCTCAATTTCAAAACACCTTTGGCTCCAGGAGTTTCAGATAGTTGCTTCTGGATCACAATGTGATGACAGTTAGTGTTATTATCACTATTTTCCACACCATGATATCCTGACCAGACCAGCCTATGAGGGAGGAGCTCAGGTACAAGGTGGGAGAAGGTCATCTATCTCACAGGCCTGGGAGGGCCAGAGAGGAGTATGAGGGCTCAAGCTGGCACATCTCCTTGTCCCCTCTCCATCTCTTCCAGCAAGCCCACGGCCTTCCCCTCCCATCCTGGGCCTCCTCAGATGTCCTGCAGACACTTGCCCAGATCTCTGCTTTGGATATTGGGGCCCACGTGGGCCCACCTCGGGCAGCAGAGAAAGCCCAGCTGACAGGGGGTGAGGTGTGGAACCAGGAGGCTGAGAGGGTGGGGCACCTTCCTTTCAGGGGTTCTAAGGGCTCTGTTCCTGCCCTGTCAGGGATCCTCCTGGATGCTATCCTCTCCAACTTCTCCCGGGTCCAGCGCCTGGGGCTTCCTCTCAAGATGGTCATGTACTCAGCTGTGAGTCCTCGGGAAGGGAAGTGGTGCCATCTGGGCACAGGGATAAGGGTGATGGCAATTTGGGTGAGGAACAACCTGTGGTCCCAGTGGAACCTCAGCTCACTGCTTTGGGTAACCCGTTATCTCCAAACCATATTCTTGGACCATATCACTAGAGGTATAGATTCAAGAAGGAGGGAGGTGATGGTGTCCTGGGAGAAAGAATTTAGCTCCTCTGGAAGGACAGGGTGTTTAATAGAGCTGTCCAGTCAGATTTTGCATCTATTTGACCAATCTTTACTGAATGAATGTCTGTAACTGGTGGGACTGCCTTTCTGGGAGAGTGAAGGAGGTTGGTGGGGGTCACTTCTAAGGAGTCTGGGAGACAACTTGGAGGCTGCTGGATGCACAAGTCTAGAGTTCAGGAGAGAGATCTCAGGGGAGGAGCCCTGTCTCAGTCCTTGGATCACCTGCAGCATGACAGCACCCTGCTGGCCCTGCAGGGGGCCCTGGGCCTCTATGATGGGCACGCCCCACCATATGCTGCCTGCCTTGGCTTTGAGTTCCGGAGGCGCCTCGGAGATCTGGATGAAGATGGAGGGTGAGGATGGGGTGGTGCCAGGGGAGTGGGTGGGACAGAACTCTCAAGAGGGATGGCATAGCTGCTGGGCAGAAGACACAGCCAGGCACTGGCCCCTGGGGGTCATGGGGGATCTTCATAGGATCGTGTTATAAGATTGACAAGGGGTAATCAGAAGCCCAGTTTCTCCAGGTTTTAAAGTCAGCAGCAGGGGAGGTAGAACAGTCTCCTTTCTCCCTTCAGGAATGTCACCATCTCCCTCTTCTATCGCAATGACTCAGCCCATCAGCCATTGTCTCTCAGCCTACCTGGATGCCCAGCCCCCTGCCCACTTGGTCATTTCCACCAGTTAACAGCCCCAGTCCGGCCTCCAGTTCACGGGGTCCCCTGCCATGGCCTCTATGAGGCTGCCACCCCATCAGGTGATAGTCCTCTGGGTTAGGGTGGGAGTGGGTCACTGAGACCTAGAACTCACGACCCACATGTTCTCCCTGCAGCCCCTGTGGTGCCCCTGCTGGCCGGAGCTGTGGCTGTGCTGGCAGCTCTCTGCATGGGACTGGGCCTGCTGGCATGGAGACCAAGCTGCCTGCGGGCCTTGGGGGGTCCTGTGTGAGCCAGAAACTGCCCCCACAGCTGACATTGGATGCTAACATGTGTGCATACCCACTGCTCTGGTCTGTGACTTATTGTGCATGTGGGGAGCAAGGGCTGGTTTCCACTGGCTTGGAAACCACAGTGGTACATGTACACATGCGTTTGTGAAGGTAGCACATGTGGGTGCATATGTGGACATATGTTGATGTCTCTGCATTTATGTCTGTATGTACACGCTGGCATGTGTCCACGTCACACACTCCTGCATTAATGTGTGACAAAGTCCAGTCCTGCTAGTGAGCCCTGCTGTGGGCCATGCCAGCACCAGCTTCCAGATGCCCTTGGATTGGGGTCAGGCCCCTGTTGCAGAGGGCAGATGTGGGATTCAAAGCCCACCTAGCCAGCTGGCACAAATCCTGACTGTGACTTGGGGTAAGGGATTGAACCTCATTTGGCAGAGCCAGGACAAATCCAGCAGGTTCTACAATCCCCCAAATTAACCTCCCAGGGACCAGCAAAAAGCAGATGGTGCTGAGGACACTCTCTGGGTTGCCTATGGTAGCATGTGGTACAATTATTTGGAGGGAGGTGGGGGCAGCTCTTTAAGTAAAATGCTGAAGATGAGGAGCCTAATGGTTATGACAGCAGGCCCTATGGGGGACATGTGCACACCCATACCACTGCCCTAACCTGCCAAACCCCTCTCCACAGGCCAGCAGACAGTGTGGCCATCCCCATCCCAGGGCCAGACCTCACTGTGGAGTGTTGGGGTGGGGAGGCTGAGGTATGGTAGGTGCTCAGTTACAGCCACTTGGCTCTCATTACATGTGGTGGCCAGGAGGCAGCTAAGGGGACTTGTGGTGGCAACAGAACCACTCCTAGCAACCGGGAGAAAGGTCTGGGAACAAGGGGAAAAGGTTGGGCTAGGGCCAACAGCCTCAAAATAGTCCTCAGTTGGAGAAGCCAAACCAACTGACTTCTACAATGGGGCAACCACCAGTTTCCCCCTCCCCTACACTGTGGAAAATCCTGCCCTGGGCCCTAAAGGCAGCCTTTGCAGACCATCCCTGACCCACCCATAATCCTGTTGTCTGTAGAGGTACTAGTAGTCACAACCTAGCCACGGGTAATTTCTGGTGGGGGCTTCTTGCTTGTAGGTTCATAAAGACTCAAAATACTATCTGGGGTTGTCACTATGATCTGAGCTGTCAAGAGCCCAGCCTCCATCAGCAGCCTATTGAACAGCCTGCAGAGCTAGGGGCCCAAGGATGTAGGTGCTGGCATGTACTTCTGTCCTCAGGACACCCCTGGATCTAGCTCATGAGAGCCCACATGGGGACACATAAACACCACAGTCCACACAGAGTGATGCCATCAGCCATTTAATGAGTGATCCTATGCACCCAGCACCAGGGTTATAGAGCCACAACCACCAGGGCTCTGCCCTTGTGGAGTTCTTTTCTGTGACTCTGCCTAAACACACTCTGAACCCAGGCCCGGAATGGCCTGGGGCCACTAGAGAAACTAGACCCACCTGGAGGGACTGGCTGCCCATAAATAGCAAACAAAACCCCCCAAAACTTGGCCATGAGGACAACCTTCACAAAGAGGAATAAATCCCAAGCGGCACCTATCCTGAAAGCATTGAGCAAAAATACTCTACAAAAACAAACAAAAAGCCTTTAAAAAAATTCTGCGCAAAATTTCTGCACCCACAGACTTGCAATAAATGGCCAACAGTGCTTGTTCCTCCCATTGGCTCTGGCCAGTGAAATCCACAGGGGTAGGTGCAATCAAGGACATCCTTCTTCTAGGGCTTTTGAACATGTCTGTCTATGGCTCACCCACAAGCAAGGTACTGACTTGCTTGGCCCCAACTCGACTGGAACTTGGCCTCCCAGCCCTGGCTGTGCTGTGTGCAGCTCCTCCCTTGGGCCTGGTCACCTGACGTGGGGTTTGTCCCTCTTCCTTGAACAGCTCCAGGACCCTCCTCCCTGCACATAGTGCCAGAGGAGCCAGCCTGAGCCTGGTGCAGCCTGGCTCCACCAGGCCTCTGGTGATGGCTTTGAGCTCTCCTGTACCTTGACTAGCAGGCTGACTAGTAAGAGCTGCAACTGAGTAAAAAGGGTATCATCAGGCAGCTTGGGACAGGGGGACAAGAGATGAGGGGGCTAAGAGTGGCTCATGACAGATCTAGCTGGACACTCTCCTCCCTGGTAGTCCAGGGCCAAGGGGCAGGAAGGACTCAGCGCTGGCACCAGGTCCCCTCTGGGACCTTGAGGTGGTAGTTGAAGACAAGAGTCACAAGTCAGGTTAGTAGCACCAGCTCCCTGGAATTTAGGGACAGGGCATGGTTCCCCATCATGCCCCTGCAGGATACAGATTATCATGAGCTGTCTGGGGTTCTCCTTGAAGCTTGGTGTATGTGGAGAACATGCAGAATGTGTAGAACTGGTCCCCTGGCCACCTAGGTTGGTGCCAGCATTCACAGCCATGGCCTCTGCTGCTCCAAGGCAGGGGACAGCCAAGAGCCCAGAGGGATGCAGCTGTGGAAAGGACACAGAAGAGGTGCTGGGCATGGGGAATGCCCACAACCTCCCACAGCACCTCCTAAAGTGGGGCCCCTCAGACCCCTGGGTGTCAAAGGTCCCAGGGGGGCACAGTGTCCTCATGGGTAGTGAGAGCCCAGTGCTGGACATCATGGGGGGTCCCCAAGTTCAGGCCCTTTGAGAATGTTGACATATGACATTTCATTGCAACCCAGCCTTCCTCCAACAGCCCCTCTGTAAGCACCAGCACTGCCACCACCACCAGAAGGCAGTGCCCTTTTTTCTTACCCAGAGTGATGGCTGGGCCATACAGCACCTGGAGGAGTCACCTGTAGTAGGAAGGCACATGACAGGGGGAGGTCAGTGGAGTGCAGGGTAGCCACGGCACCTTCATCACCCCCTCCACAGAGCTGGGGCCCCTCAGATCCCCAAGGAGGGCACCACGTTCTCAGGGGTGTCTGGAACCAAGTGCTGGGCACCATAGAAGTCCCAGTGCCACTTGTGTCCCTTGACACAACAGCCCAGAGAATACTTTTAGTTCTGCAGCTCTTGTTCTTGCCACTCCTGACACTGAGGGAACAAATGCCAAGTTCACTCAGGGTTCAGAGCACTTATTTCTGGTCACACACACTTTTCCCCATTTAGCTTTTGAACACTTGTGAAACCCCCTCTAGATAAATCCTGTTATTTGAACAATGGCTTTGTGTAAACTAAAAGCTCCTTCAATGACTGTGAGCATTTATACACAGGTGAGTCCCCAGAAGCTAAGCTTTGAGTAAAGGACACTGTGCTTGCTCTACAAAATTTGCCATGTGACAGCAAACTGTCTATTCCTCCCTTGCCCAGTGTTGAGAACCCTTCTGCTTCCTTCTCAGTGCTGTTTGAGGTCTGATGACTGTCTCCAAGCCCACGGACAGAACAGCTGGAATTTGGACCCAGGTGTACTTGACTGCTTCTCTAGTTATGTTTACTGTATGTGAATCAGCACATAAATTAGGTCCCAGAGACACCTGCTTTGAAGTCATCCCAGATGGTGAGCTATGTTAGGCCAGGGTGATCAGGCAAGGAAAAGCATGGTCTTACCATGATGGAGTGTGGAAGGAGGCCCGAGCTTGAAGACACACCTGTAACACACAGAGCTTGGTAAGGGGATGGAGGAGGAAACAGTCTGCAGAACATCAAAGCTGAGGCTCCTCAGACCCCCAGGTGTCAAGGGTCCTGGGAGGCACTGTGTCCTCAGGGGTGATCAGAGCCCAGTGCTAAACATCATGGGAGCCTCAGCCCCCATCCAACAAAGCCCTAAGGCCTCTTATCTTCAGGAACAGAAGCCAAGCTTACAGAGCTTAGAGACTAGCCAACACACAAAATCCATCAGGAAGGTATACAACCAGTTCTGCAAAGTCACAGGTGCACAGGGTATAGTCCTCATAGTCTAGGCTTCTAAACCCACTACATGAAGTGGGCCCTAATGTCCATTCCTCCCTTGCTTAGTGTTACAAGATTTTTTCAGCAGTGGCTGTACCTGCTAGTAACCCTGAATAGGGAAAGGTGCCAAGATGCAAATCCCTCAGAAGAACCTACTGAGAGGAATGAGGAAGCAGGCTACTGTAGGGGAAAAAAAAAAGGGTGGCACCTGTGGATCAGTGAGCAGGGCGCTGGACACCAGCCCCATATACTGAGGGTGGTGGGTTCAAATGCGGCCCCTGCTGAACTGCAATCAAAAAAAAAAAAAAGAAAAAAAAAGAAGAAAAATAGCCAGGCGTTGTGACGGGCGGCTGCAGTTCCAGCTACTTAGGAGGCTGAGGCAAGAGAATCGCTTAAGTCCAGGAGTTGGAGGTTGCTGTGAGCTGTGTGATTCCATGGCACTCTACAAAGGGCAATAAAGTGAGACACTGTCTCCACAATTAAAAAAAAAAGCCAAGATGTAAGCAGTGACCACAGACCCTTGACCAAACCAGGTTTGAACAAATCAGCTGTGAAAGACATTTTAGAGATGACTGATAAGGAATACAAGACAGACAATAAATGGCAGTATTAAGAAATGAGTCTTTGCTCTGGGCCAATGGCTCAAGTGGCTAAGGCACCAGCCACATACACCTAAGGTGGCAGGTTTGAATCCAGTCCAGGCCCGCCAAACAATGATGGCTGCAACCAAAAAATAGCCGGGTGTTGTGGCGGGCGCCTGTGGTCCCAGCTATTTGGGAAGCTAAGGCAGGAGACTAGTTTAAGCCCAGGAGTTGGAGGTTGCTGTGAGCTGTGATGCCACGGCATTCTACAAGGGGTACAGCTTGAGGCTCTGTCTCAAAAAAAAAAAAGAAAAGAAATGAGTCTTCTGCCAGGCCAAGGCTGGAGGATCACTTGAGCTCAGGAATTCAAAACCAATGTGAGGGAAAGTGAGACCCCATCTCTATTAAAAATAGAAAAATTAGCCAGATGTAGTTAGTGCCTATGGTCCCTGCTACTTGGGAGGTGGAGACAATAGGACCACTTGTTCCCTAGGGTTGGGTTGCAAATGAGCTTGATGCCACTACACTCTATCCAGGGTGACAGTGAGAAGACCCTCTCCACCTCCCCCATCAGTCTTATTAAGGGGACAAAAATGTTAACTATTTCCAGCAAAATATGGAACTTACTTTTGGAATATTTTCCAATTTGTTGGAAGATTTTAATAATGCTAAAAGAGGGCATGCCAAGGACGAATGCAGGAAAAAAATACTTTCACTTGTGACATGGCAATACAGGCAGCCCCCAGATTATATATGACACGACAATGTCTAGTTCGGATCTCTGATATACTGCACATATACAGTGACACTACTACTGTAATGGCTTCTATAAGATAACGATAATGCCCATACACTGTATTAGGTCACAACAACTATTGTCCTCTTTCAATTCAAGCAAAACATAAAAACAAGGTCATACAAGAATTTAAAGACAAATTTCAAGAAAGAATACTTAAGGTTAACATCCACCTAATGTTGCCTCAACACTTTTCTTACTGAAAACATTATTTTTGAGGCAAGACGGCAGCCTACATTAATCAATGACGGAGATGGTGGAGAATGGGGATCTTATTTTGTTGCTAGAGAAGGGGAGCTTACTACTAAAGTCAGCTTCTTTCTTTCTTTTTTTTGAGACAAGAGTCTCACTGTGTCGTCCTGGGTAGAGTGCCCCAGGGTCACAGCTCACAGCAACCTCAAACTCTTGGGCTTAAGCCATTCTCTTGCCTCAGCCTCCCAGTAGCTAGGACTACAGGACCCCTCCACAAAACCCGACTATTTTTTTGTTGCAGGTGTCACTGTTGTTTAGCAGGCCTGGGCCGGGATGGAACCCACCACCCACGGTGTATGTGGCCGGCGCCCTACTCACTTAGATACGGATGCTGGGCCATAAAGTCAGTTTCTTGACCAAAGTATCTTAGGATTGTCTGCCCGGCTTTTTTCTTTCTTCTACCATAAAATATAGCAAGTGATGTTATAACTACACAGTAAACCTCTATTAACTATTCAACGTTAGGATCTTACCCCTCAAGTTAAGCAAATCCCACTTCAATGAGACAATGAGCATGGGGAGCTCCTTGGTTACGTACGCCTTCAGGCGAGTCGTCTGTAACGAGGCCACTGCCTACAGTTAGGATTTAACTGTCAGAATCATTCCTGCATGTGGACAAAGGCTTGTTTTCTCCTAGACCCATTCCTATCTGGCTCTCAGAAACAAGCCAACAGTTTATTTAGAACCACCTCACTCCCACTTTTTTTCTGACTCCATACCCCGTCTCTGCACCTATACAAACTGCAACACCGCTTCCCCTCCCATCCCCCATAGTCTGTGTCCAGGGTCGCACAACAATGCCAGCTGCCCAGAATTGAAAAAATCGAGCTACTTCCTATAGAAAGCGCACGCAGCTAATAAGCGAGTAGGGAACCTCAGAAAGACCTTACCGCCCCTTCCCCTCCCGCGCCCAGAAAAATCAAGATGGCGGAGACAGCGACCCGGGAAGTAGAAACCGCGAGGCCCGACTGCGGCGCAGACTAAAGGCCAGTGCCCAGGACAACTCCCCACTCCCATGTTCGCCCTAGCAGTAGGAACTGCCACCGGCCAGGTACCCACAAAGTGTCGCCATTATCCCCGCGAAACCCCAGTCTACGAGAGCACGTGGTTGCTCCCCCCAAAGGCCCGGAACCCTCAGGACAGGTGCATCCCTCATTCCAACGCCCTGTTGCAGAGAACCGGAGATGGGGAGAGCGCCAAAAGGAACAAGCTACCATAATGCCTTACCCTCTCCGTCGCGTGCGCGGGTTGGAGGGCGCCCCACTTTATAGAGCGCGCCTCTGGCAAGGCCCGTCCCCCGAGCCGGGCCGGGCTCTATCCGCAGCGTCTTGGAGGCGAGCCTGTTTGAAAACCCCAGCTTTAGTGCTGGCGGAAGTGAAAATACCTGTTTCTTCTAGAATCTTCCAGAATAAATGAGAAGACATTGTCTCTGGAGATGTATAAAAAGGAGCAAGGGCATATTGGAAAAAAATATTTGGTCACCTGCATCAGGCAATTATGAAGACAGCACATAAGGACGCTTTGTGAAGAGAAAAGACCCCGAGGTGGGTGGGGCCAGTAAGAGAAGCAACTGGAATTGCTAGCGTCATTGCGGCGCGAGCTTCGGCTGCAGAGGCGTGGCGGACGCTGAAAGGCCAGACTCCAGGTAAGACTCAGCCCCAGGGCGGGAGGCGGGGCCAGTGCCGAGATTGACAGGGGGCCGTTCTTGGACCGCGCCTGCGTGCTGCAGAGTCTGCACTTTGCGAGGCCGGGCTGGAGTAGGGGTGCAGCGTCTAGAAGGCGGGACCGTGGTGTCGGAGGGAGGAGGGGCTGAATACCTGGACTCTCGAGTCTGAAGGAGGAGAGGTGGTGTGTTTGGAAGAAGAGGAGGTTGGGACTCACCCCAGTTTCGAAGGTCCAGTCTAAGGCCTGGGGCCCGAATTCTTGGTAGGGTTGGAGATCTGAGTATCTTTCAACTAACAAGAATGTAAGAACATTTTTTTGAAGATTAAAAAAATGAAACTAATTTACTTCAAACATCCTCTTCAGAGATTGTCACTATGGACAATTTGGTGTGCGGCCCGGGGGGTGGGGGTGGGGTGGGGTGGCTCATGCCTGTAATCCTGGCATTCTGGGAGGCTGAGGCAGGTAGATAGCTTGAGCTCACTGGTTCGAGACCAGTCTGAGCAAAAGTGAGACCCCCCCCCACACACGTCTCTACCAAAAATAGAAAAACTGAGGCAAGAGGATTGCTTGAGCGCAAGAGTTGGAGGTTGCTGTGATTTATGTTGCCACGACGGCACTATACCCCGGGCGACAGCTTGAGACTCTGTCTCAAAAAACAAACAAAAACAATTTGGTGTAGACTTTTTACTTTACAACCACACACATACATTAATGGATAAAGATGCTTATTTCACTCTAATCTGCCCCATAAGTAGTCTCTACACATCAGTAGGTACAGAATTATTAGACAGTGACAAAGGCAAAAGATTCCTTTGTGCGAATAGACTTTGTTTAGTGGGTCATCTGGGTCAACTGGGTTTTTTTCCTTCTAGTGAAGAGACTCCTTTTGAACTTTGTGGTGTGAGGAAAAAAAAAAACAGACCTCAATTTCTCTCTTAAGAGCCATGTCTGTCACTGGCTGCTGTCTCACTCCAGAGCAAAATCCTCACTAGCTTGTGAGGCTCCTAGTAAACTGGCTTCTGTTCTCCCTTACACTGTCTGCCTGCTTGAGACCATTAGCCCAACCTCTGTGCTGGCTTTGTGCCTTGAACCCTTCCCTCTGAGCTTCCTTCTTTTCCTTTCCTTCTACTCTGGAGGGTCCAAGGATGGCCCTAGAAAGGAGTGGCAGTTCCACAGAACACTTTCAAGGTACTGAGCTAAATTAAGGAATATTTGGGGCAGAAAATAGATTTAATAATATAGATTATTAATCTGGGTTGAGAGGAGTCTGAAGGGACTGAAAAAGGAAAAGAGTCTTGGTGGAGGTGGGGTAGAGGGGAGGGTTGTTAGGTCCATGACAAAGAGTTGTGGGAGCAGGTCAGTCAGCATTTCCATGTCCTAAGTCCAAATGGCGTGTACTGCTAGGATAGACCAGAAATTTGTGTAATTCAGATAAGACAAGAAACCTGAGGAGAGGAAGAGAACAGAGGGGGTTAGACACAGAGTTCATCAGCCCAAGCCTTAGTCCAGTCCCATCTTCAAGGCCAACTGCATGCTCTACACTGTGTCAACCTATTCCCAAACTAAACCTCATCCCCAAACCTAGTTTTAAACCCATCCCCCTGCTCACAAACCCACTCCTAAACTCAAACTCAACTCGTTCCCCTGCAATGTCCCCAGCCCATTTCTAAACTTGAACCCAGTCCCATCCCCACATCCAGCTTCATGTGCATCCCCAACCCTCTCTCTTCAACCTTAGTCATATCCTCCCCAGCCCTATGGACAACCCCATTCCCATCTCAAACTCTGTTTAACACAATACGTATCTGCATCCCTGAACCCATTCCCAAACTCAACCTCATCCCAGCCCAGACCAGTTATCAGGAAGAGGAAGACACCAGTCCATGCCAGGTAGAAGCTGAGCCCCAGCTGGTAGGTCATGCCTTCCTGCAGGTACTCATGGGCCTGGAGCAGGTAGAACAGAACACTCAATATGATGCCGGTCCCTGCATGAACACAGGTGTTAGGAGGCCAGGAATCAGGCATATAAGGATCCTTGTTCACAGTTATGTGCCTGCCTAGCTCTTGCTCATCCTTTTCTCACTTTATTTAATCTCTTAAACCCTGTCTCTGCTCACAAGCAGGAAGATGACAATGTCATGCTGAAGGACATCAGAATTGCAAGCTGTGTTCTTTAACCAGGCAATAGTGTCTAAAACCATGGGATTGCCGGGCGAGGTGGCTCATGCCTGTAATCCTATCATTCTGGGAGGCTGATGTGGGTGGATTGCCTGTGTTCAGGAGTTCAAGACCAGCCTGAGCAAGAGTGCAGGCCTGTTGTCCCAACTACTCAGGAGGCTAAGGTAAGAGGATTACTCAAGATCAAGAGTTTGAGGTATTGTGAGCTATGATGCCAGTGCACTCTACCCAGGGGGACAGTGAGAATCTGCCTCAACAAAAAATAAAAACAAACAAAAAACCACAGGCGGCTCGGCGCCTATAGCTCACCCGGCTAAGGCGCCAGCCACGTACACCTAAGGTGGCGGGTTCGAATTCCCAGCCTGGACCCGCCAAACAACAATGATGGCTGCAACCAAAAAATAGCCGGGCGTTGTGGCGGGCGCCTGTGGTCCCAGCTACTTGGGAGGCGGAGGCAGGAGACTCGCTTGAGCCCAGGAGTTGGAGGTTGCTGTGAGCTGTAATGCCACGGCACTCTGCCCAGGGGGACAGCTTGAGGCTCTGTCTCAAAAAAAGAAAAAAAAAAAACCCACAGGCTTGGAGGCCAACAGAACAGAGGGCTCCTTCCTTTCTTTGCCTCTCACTTTAGGGCAGCTACTCTATTTCACTGAGCCTTAGTTTCCTCCTATAGAGTGGGCATAATGAAAGGACCCCTCTCCTAGGGCTGTCAGCAGGTACTATGTACCAGGCACATTTCCTCACACATAGTAAGTGCTCAAGGACTGAGATGATCCTTATATTGGGGCTTTAATTTTGGGCCTCTGAATGGACAAAGATCTAACTGCTTCTGGATATTTGAAATAACGTGAATTAGAGATAATTTATGAATGAGAAAACTTTTTTTCTCCCAGGTAGTCGTGTACTGGCATTTTGTCTTGCATTATTGAAAAATAATACAGGAGATATTTTCTGCTTACTTAAGAGGAATGGACAGAAATGATTTTCTTTTTTTTGAGACAGTCTCACTTTGTTGCCCTTGGTAAAGTGCTGTGGTGTCACAGCTCACAGCAACCTGCAGCTCTTGGGCTTAGGCAATTCTCTTGCCTTAGCCTCCCGAGTAGCTGGGACTACAGGTGCCTGCCGCAACACCCTGCTATTTTTTGTTGCAGTTTGGCTGGGGCCGGGTTCGAACCTGCCACCCTCAGTATATGGGGCTGGTGCCCTACTCACTGAGCCACAGGGGCCGTCCAGAAATGATTTTCTTATAGGAAAATGTCCTGGTATAGGTGGCTTAAAACCAAAATGTCTTCTATACTTTGCACCTTGTGTTTGAACAATTAGACAAACTGGGTAAGTATCAGTTACTAACAAGGAAACAAGAAGCTGAGGATTCTCTATTCTTACCCTTACTATCACTCTTCAAGAATGCAGTTAAAAGTTATCAATTACTACAAGGGATAGGAACACAATATCCCTCATTTCCAGATTAAAATTCTTCATTTTAAAGTATGATTGGGCATGCAAAAGGAAAACTAAACTATTTTAATTGGAATTTCAATTTTGAGTTACTTGGGTGGGAGGTTAAGGACATGTGCAAAATTAAATAGCTACCATCAAATACTGATATTTTCTAATTAAATCCTCACTGCATCTATACATGGTAGGACATTTCGTCCCCATCCTACATACGAGAAAACTGTGGCTTTGGAAGGTGAAGTTAAACAAAAACACAGAGCCAGGGGTGGAGCAGGATTTTGAATGGGGTTGGGAATCAGGTAGAAGTTAAAGTTTGAGTGATAAGGATGGAGGTTGAGGTTGAGGTTTAGGATGATGTTGGGATGAGGATGGGTTGTGGATGGGCAGGGTCATGGTTGGGGGCAGGGATGGATTAGATATGGGTAAGAGGATGGAGTTGGGAATGGGTTGGGTTGAATTTGAGAGTGAGGTACACAGGTGGTAGGGATGGGGGTGCAGTTATGACTGGATTGGGGTTGGGTATTGAGAAGAAGATGAAGTTAGAGACAGACTGATGTTGAGTTTAAGGTTGGAGTTTACCAGTGATAGGATTAGGACTAGGCTGAATTTGAAACATACTGAGGATGGTTAGATATGGGATTAAGTTGGATGTTGAGGTTTGTGAAGAGATTGGGATGGTAATGGGAATGGGTTGGAGACTGGAAAGAAGATAAACTGGGGGTGGGGTAGGAGTGGGGATGATCATTACGGAAAGGAATATGGATGAGTTTGACATTTGTTGGTGATGGAGATGGGTTGGACTGGAGGTTGGTATTTTTTGTTGGAATGCATTATATATTTGAGAGGAGATAGGATTAGGGTTGGGGATGAAGGTAAAGATGGTGACGGATTGGAGTGTGGTGGGGATGGGGTTGGTTTTTA